AGCCTGTCCTGGCGCTCCTTGCCGAGCCACCCCGGGCAGCTCCCTTCCCTCCCGGGACCATGCCTGCCCTTTTGCAGATGTTCATTTTACACATGTGTTACATAGACTTTCACATTTGCTTTTTATGGAGATATAATTCACATACCGTAACATTCCCCCTTTTAAAAGATACACAATTCAGGGGTTTTAGTATAGTCCCAAAGTTGTGCATTCATCACCACTCTCTAATTTCCAAACATTTTAGTCAACCCCAAAAGAAACTGCATACCAATTAAGTCACTTGCTACTCCTCCTTCCCCCGACCCTTGGCACCCACTAATCTGCCTTCCGTCTCTGTGGATTCACCCGCTCTGGACATTTCCGATAAACGGGATCCTACAATGTGTGTCTTTGTGCCCGGCTTCTTCCCTTTAGCGTCATGCTGCCCAGGTCCGTGCCCGTGGTGGCACGTCAGCAGCTCGTCGTTTTTGTGACTAACTGGCGTTCCGTTTCATGAATGTACCGCGTTTGTGTACCCACTCCTCCATCGATGGGCATTCGGGCTGTTTCCTCCTTTGGCCCCGTGGCTAGTGCTGCTGGGAACATTGCTGTGCAGGTTTCTGTGTGAACACCTTCTCCTGCTCCTCGGGGCACGTGCCCACTGGGGGATTGCTGCGTCGTGTGATTCTCCGTGTAACTCTTGAGGAACCACCAGACGGTTTTCCGCAGCAGCTGAACCACTTTACTCGCCCACCCGCGATGCACGAAGGCTCGTTTCTTCACATTCTCACCCAGGCTTGCCCATCTTTTTTATCATAGCCATCCTAGCAGATGTGAGAGAGTATCTCATTGTGGGAACTGTATATGACATCGGTTTTTAATCTGCAAGTCCCTCTTTAAAAAGCCAGTTCCTGCCCGACCAGCACGGCTCAGTGGTTGAGCGTCCACCTATGAACCAGGAGGTGATGTGCCCAGGGGGCGTGCAGGAGGCAGGCGATCAATGATTCCCTATCATCATTGATGTTTCGCTCTCTCTCTCTCTTCCTCTTCTTTCCTCTCTAAAATCAACAAAAATAGTTTTTAAATAATTTTTTTAAAAGTTAAATAAATAAATAAAAAGCCGCCTTCCTGGAGATCGTCCATATGTAGGACTCATACCTGACGAGGTGCAGTGGGGCAGGTGGCCCGAGCTCACCCCTCAGCGGTCCCAGCGGCAAGTTCGCCGGGTGGTTCCCAGACACGAGTCTGACTCCCAGAGAGTTCTGTGCCGCAGCACCTCAGCCCTCGGTCCTGTCCTGGTTGCCCTAGGAACCCAGACAGCATTGGCCCAGCGGTGGGTCTGCCCTGCCATTGAGCCGGGGTTGCCATGGTGAGAGGAGGCGTCCAGTGGCTCCCACCCATGGCTCCAGCTCGAAGGGCAGCTCGGGCAGGACCAGAAAGCCGGCTGGAGAAACGCCGCCACTGCCTCCTTCCCAGGCCCAGGAAGGGAGGCCCTGGGTTTGGCTGGTAGCGCCGAGGAGCGGGGTGGCTGGTCAGGTTGCGAAGCCAGCGGAAGGGTCACTGAACTCCGCTGTGAGTAGCCCTCAGAGCACAACCCTCTGCGATCCCCGTGGCCGCTTGGCACGCTCCCAGGCCGCTCTCGCTCCTCCCGCGCCTCTCCGCATCCGCACTCTGGGAGCACCAGGCGCTCTGCCGGGTGATGGGTGGGGTGTTCTGCATTCCCGCGTTGCCTGGGCAGAGGGGGACCCCCTCCCCAAGTTCTGTTCTGCTGGTTGCGAGGCTCGGGTTGTCACAGCTGTCAGAGGCGTGAGTCACCAGCCGCAGATTGTTCTGTTCCCTGGCTGGGTTTTAGGATAGCTTTCTTCTTTCTTGATGGCTAATTCTTTGAAAAAGGATAATTTATAGGTTGTGCAGGGACTTTCACTTAGCTAGAATATTAGATTAACCCGAGTGCCTGGCTTCTCCCCCGTGACTTGCTGGTGGAGTGAAATGCCATAGTGTCTTTAAAGGATGCAGCGTCCTGATTCTACAGCTGTGGGAACTGAAACCCCGAGCCCTAGTGATCGAAGGGGGGAAAGCATGACGGAGGTCCATCGCTTCAGTAACAGCCCTGGAATTACAGAATCGGAAAAGGTTGGCTCTGGAAGCGTCTCAGACCATCTAATCCAACCCCTGGGCTTAGCAAATGTGCCTGTTTCAGCCATTGTGTTATGTACAGTTGTGTGTTGGTTGTGTTCATTTGTATGAAACTCCCCAGAGGGTGGTGTTCCAACCCCAGGCCTGGCAAGTGATCATGACAGTAAGTGATGGGAGCTGTCCCAGCGTGTGGTGTGCGCGTGGGGACAAGGTGGGGGGGGGGGGATGCAGGATGGTCGTACAGCCCAGGCAGAACTGTGGGAGCAAAGAATGGCTTTCCTGGGGGGGGGGGGGCGGTGCAGAGGGGGGGAATAGCAGGCAGCTGAGAGCAGGGGGAAGGGTACAGGTGAGAGGGCCCTGGACTCCGGGGTTAAGAGTTTTGCCCTGATCTTTACTTAATCGGGCACCTCTGGTGAATTTTGAGGGAGTTTCTGGCCCTCTTGTCCATCGCTCCTGCTGCTGCCCTGACCTGGGCCCTTCTCATTCTTACCTGGGGTTTCTGATAACCTCCTACCTCATCTCCCTGCCTCTACTCTTGTCCCTTCCCAGCCACACTCCACAAGGGCCTCTGCCCACCGGGCTTTCTAAAATGCAAGTCTGATGGTGTTCCTCCATGACCTCCTATGCTCAGAGGGCGGGCGAGACCCTGGCTGATGCCGCACAGCGTGGCTGGGCCCCGCCTTCTCCTGCAACCTCGCCCCCCCCCCCCCCGCTGTGACTCGGCCCTCACCAGGCCCCTCGTGTCCTGAGCAGCTGTGCCTTTGCCCGGGCCTCTTGCTTCCTGCTCACTTTCCCTGCCTGGTGAACTCCTACTCATCCTTCAGGGCCCCGTGCACATTTCTTTTTAGAGCAGCTTCCCCTGGCCTTCCTGAGCCACCATTACGCCTTGGGTGCGTTTCTGTTCAGAGGGTCACATTGCATTGCAGTGATGCCCTTCTAACTGACTGGCATTCCCCTTTGTGAGGGTGTGTCGGGTGATGGGCCCTGGGCTCAGCCCCACCCGTGCATTATCCCGTGTCATTCTCACAGTGACCACAGGAGGCGCCTTCTGGCACAGCCCCACGGACAGATGAGGAGGCCTGCGGCTGCAGGCGACAGAGCTGGGATTTGGGCCCACATCTGTTGGACTCTATTCCTGTATCTTCCCTCTGCTGTTCCCTAGATCCTCCTGTATCCCCCAGACCCCCCGGTGGGTCCTCAGGAAATGCTGGGCATGTGAGGGACTGGCCACAGGGCTGGGTTCGGCAGGGCACCGTGGTCTGGCAGGTGGGGAACTGGAGGGAGGCAAGAGGGAGAAGGGGCTGGAGTTACTTGGGGTTAACATGATGAGAGACTGTGACCCGTGGCTAAGGGTTTCCTTTCCACCCTCCATTCCAGTGGCAGCCTCTGGCCACCTGGAGACTCTGGGCCAGCAAGCAGCATGGTGACAAATGCCATGGCAACCTGCCTTCTCTCGGGCGTGGAGGGGAGGGAGGAGCTGAGAGCGCACGGGCCCCACACTGGGACTTCTGAGCAGGATCCTAGAAAGGTGGCTGCATTGGACCTGAGTGACTTCTGCCCTCCCCTGAGGGCGCCTGCCTGCAAGGTCCCATCCCAGCAGGAGAAACGCCACTTCCCCTCTGCCCTGGATGAGTGGCTGGCCCTGGCCTCCCAGGAGACTGTGGGCTTTATCCAGGTACAAACGCAGTCCCCTTCCCACCCCGCCACCCCCCTCTCCCACCCTCCTGTCAGAAAGGAAGGAAGGAGCTCAAGAGGGGGAGGCGTGGGGTTGCCAAGCAAGGTAGGGGAGGGACAGCTGGGACAAGGCCCTCATTGTACCGAGGCCACACGCAGCTCCCAGGCAGGCCAGGCATCTGCCTGCCTCCCAGGACCTGGGACTAGAATTCCACTTGGCCTTTCCCACCCAAGCTACTTAGCAACACGCATCCCAGCCAGCCTGGAGGAGCACGGCGCATGCTTAGATCTGAGTCCTGCCTCTGCTGAGAGGTCCTCCTGGAGCCACAGCCTCCGCTTTGCCTCCTCCCAAAAGCAGAGGGAGGCGGGGATGTGGGTCGATGCCGGTGAAGCCGGCTGGCGGGAACTAGCAACCAGGGTCTGTCAGACCTGCAGCCGTGTGGCCTTGGCCAAAATGTGATCACAAACCCTGCTTGCCTGGAAGGTTGATATCTGAAGACATGGGCTTGGCACACAAACGCACTCTGCACAGTCACTTGGCCACATGGGGTTCAGACCCCAGTCCCCAGCAGGTAATCCCAGAAGCCTTGGCCCGCCCCCGCCACCCCCGCCAACGAGGAAGGACCATCAGCCCCAGCCCCACCCAGCTGCGCCTGGCCCAGCCCTCCTGTGCTCCGGAGGCAGGTGGCAGGCGGCCATTGGCAGCTTCCTGACAAGTGTGGGGGCACCATTGTTGCCCCAGCCCCTGTCCTGTGGTTCATCCTCCAGGTCCGGCCCTACGGTCCCAGAAGGCCCTGCCTGGGTGACGGGGCGTGATGGGTGGGCCGCGTCACCAACCAAGGGCGAGCAGCTCAGGTGACAGGCCTGGTGTCGGAGGCTCCTGCGCCAGCACCTGACACCTCGTGCAGACAATGCTGGCTGTGTCTGGCTGTCTAGGGGACAGGCCACATCTGTGTCACAGCCAGGAAACAGGCCACTGAGGAGCGCCTTTGTCTGCTCAGGAGGCAGCCCCACTGCCGGCCAGGATGGCCAGGCTCCCCAGGGGCCCTGACGCGGGAAGGGGTGGTGCCCTGGCCCGGGGACTCCAGGGTTTGAGGTCCAGCCCCTGAGCGCCTGGTGTTGGCCCAGCCACCACTGGGTGTGACTTGGGCCCGTGCCTTCCCTCGGGACTCCTCACCTGTAAAGGGACTAACCACAGCACTTCCTCTTAGGGTTGTTGGGAGGCGTCGATGGCAGAATGTACGTAACATGCTCGGCCTGGGGTCTGAGGCGAGGAGCGGGGCTTGGTGAATGCTTGTTTCCCGGCATGGGGGCAGGTCTGGGGCCTGGCGTCCTCGGCGAGTCTCCTGTGACCCAGGCTACTGCCCTGAGCGTGGAAGAAGGGGACGGGTCTCTGGAGCCGGCACAGGACTCGCATGTTGGCTGCAAGGGCCCAGGCCCTCCACCTTGGACGCCAGGAGCCCTGGGCTGGTGCCCAGGCAGCCATCTCCCCACAGCAGCTCACACCCCGCCTGGCCTGGGGCCTCCCCTCCTTAAACCCCTGTAGGGTCCCAGGAGAGGGGCCTAGTGACTCCTAGGCCGGAGCCAGGGGGCCTGTGTCCCCCTACCCAAGGGTGGGCCTCTGCAGGCACAGTCACTTTCTACTGGGCCCAGCCCCTGAGACACCCCCGGGGGGGCTTCTGCTCCCACCGCCCAGCCCTCACCTGCTCTGAGCCTGCGCCTGAGCTCCTGTGCATGGCAGGACCAGCACGCGCTCCTGCATGGGTGCGGGCATGCGTGTGCAGCACGTGTGCGGGAGGCCCCTGCATGTCCTGCACCGTGCGCAGGTCCCCAAGCATGTTCACATGGAATGTCGGGCATGGTGCCTTTTCATGACCGTGTGTATCCATATGTCTTTCTACACGTGTGCTGGTCTGTTGGTCTGTCTTGTCTCCCCTGTAGACGGGAAGCCCCGAGCCACACACCAGCGGGCACTCTGGGAAGGTGACGCCGAGACTAGCCCAGCGTAATTTGGGGGTCCTGGTCCTGCTCTGGGAGCCTCCAGCCTGCAGCTCCCGCCGAGAGCGGGGTCTGAGTGTCAGGGGCCCAGGGGGCTGGCGTGTAGTATAGAGGACTCGGTGCTGCTGGGTGTCGGGCGGCGCTGCCGATGCCTGTGTGACCTTGGGCGAGGCCTCTGCTCCGTGCCCACGGTCGCCCATCTGGAGAGCACGGGGTTGGACTGATGATCTCTGGCTGCCCTGAGGCTCTGCCAGTCATTTTAAGTCGGGTGCCCGGAGCCAGCTGCGGCCAGAGCCTGGCCTGCCAGGCCCTCGCTCCGTCCTGGGTGCCCTGCTGAAGGGTGAAAGGAGAAGCCATGCCGGGCAGCGGCCCCAGCGAGAGGATGACGTGGCCCGGCCCGGCCCTCGCCGCGGCCCCCCCAATGCGCCCTCTCTCCTCAGCCCCGGGGACACCACCCATCCCACCCCTCACCCGGACCCGCAGCCTCATGGCCATGTCCCTGCAGGGCAGTAGACGGGCCTCTGCTGGATCCCGCAGGTGAGTCTGCCCCTGACCCAGACCTTGGCCTCAGAGGATGGGAGGGGTGTCCCCACTCTGCCACCCCCTAGTTTTCCCATCTCTAAAATGGGCTGCTGACACTCGCTCCTCCTGGAACTGCTTAGGGCTCGCCTGGCGCGGTGGGTGTAAAGTTCTCTGAAGGCACACGCCGTGGGGTTCCTGCCCCCATCAGTGCTGTTTGACCTTCATCGTTAGAGGGATGTCCCCCCGTCCTCCACGCAGCTCCCTCCTGTCTCCCCCCGCCTGCCCCATTCTTCTCAGTCCATGCAGGACCTCCTCCTCTGGGCTTGGGGGACCCTTTAAGGGCACATTCCCCACCCCCCGCCCCCCCATTGGCCTGCAGCCCTGTCCAGCCTCCATTCCTGCCCTGGGGAGTCAGGAGGACCGGCCTCCTTCTGGTTTTCCATCTTGATTTGCACTGTCTGTTCTGTCACCCTGTCTGTGCATCCCCGATTCTCCTCTGCTTCTCTCCCGGCGGTGACCCCGAAGTGGGGGCGCTTTGGGCCGCAGCGGCCTGGCAGTGCTCTCCCAGTGTCCGCAGCTGCCCACCAGCCAGAACGAGCACCTGCCCCTTCTTCCCGCCTCCAGGCGCACCTCTCCGCCCGTGAGCATGCGGGACGCCTACGGCACCTCCTCTCTCAGCGGCAGCAGCACCTCGGGCTCCTGCAAGGGCAGCGATGGCAGCCCCACGCCCAGGTAACGACCTCCCCTCCAGCCTGGCCTGGCCCAGATGCCTGGGAGCCTGGGTACCCTGGGGGGCGGGGCGTGGGTGTCCTAACACCCCCACACTCCCTGGCTGTCCGACCCCAAGCAGGTCACGTCCTCTCTGAGCCTCAGTTCTTGTGTCTGTGAAATGGGTGTGATATGTCCAGCTGTGAGTCTCCAAAGACAGTGTCCTAGGCCCACGAGAAGGGATGCTTTCAGGACCAGGCGCCACAGGCGGCAGCTCTCTGCATGTCAGAGGCCGCCTCCTGCCTTCCTGCTCACCCTCCTCGGTGTGTAGCTCTTGTCCTCATCACATGTGGCTCCCACACCTCCAGGCAGCGGGCTGATGCCCAGGAAGGAAAACGGGAAAAGCCCAAAGCCCCACCCCCCGGCCCCCGGCTCATGTTTCCTGACGGGGACCCCTCCCCGGGAATCCTGTGTGCGCCTCCCTGTAGAGCTGGGTGATGTGCGGGCCCAGGTCGGACAGAGCTGTGTGCTCCCGGGCACAGCGTTGGAGGGCACCTCCCAGCTTCTGCCGCTTGCTTTCTTGGGGGGCACCATGAGGGTGGCAGAGGTAAGCAGGTCTGGAAAGCAAAGTGGGGGAGAAAGGCTGAGTTGTGCCCTCAGGAAAGGCGAGCAGAGACCTGAGAAGCAGGATCGGGCTGGGAGGCAGGGCAAGGGGAGCCGCAGGTCCTCAAAGACCAGGGGTTCGAGCTGGGACGACGGCACAAGCCTGTCCCCAGCGTTGAAATTCTGGGGGAGGCAGAAGACTGTGGGCTTGGGGTTTGGTCACTTCACATCTCCATCCGACACTGGTAACGGCCGTCAGTGGGGCTTTGGTCCTCCGTGAGAGTCGTGGCCGGAAGACGGCCTGCAGCCCTGTGGCCAACGCACCCGCTGGGAGGACTCGTCTGCCCGTTCCAGTGGAGAGCGTGTCATTTGTGTGAAGTGATATTCGGGTTGTGCTGAGGCAACAGTTCTCAGTATTGTCCAGCATGACACACGAGTGATGGGTTGACACACGTGTGCAGGACCCATGCCCCAGCATTCCGTTTGTAACCACACTCCAGAACACAGGGCATGAGGAAGACGGATGCGTACACTTACATTTTAAAGTGTATGCATCCATCTTCAGAGAGAGGAAGGGAGAGAGAGAGAGGGATAGAAACATCAATGACTAGAGGCCCGGTGCACAAAATTCGTGCATGCAGGCGGTGGTCCCTCAGCCCGGCCTACACCCTCTCCAATCCAGGACCCCTCGGGGGATGTCCGACTGCCGGTTTAGGCCCAATCCCTAAACCAGCAGTCGGACATCCCTCTTGCAATCTGGGACTGCTGACTCCTAACCACTCACCTGCCTGCCTGCCTGATCGCCCCTAACTGCTCCCCTGCCTGCCTGATCACCCCTAACTGCTCTCCCCTGCCTCGGCTCCTGCCACCATGGCTTTGTCTGGAAGGACGTCCGGAATGTCCAATCTAATTAGCATATTACCCTTTTATTAGTATCGATGAGAGAGAATCATTGATCAGCTGCCTCCTGCACGCCCCCTACTGGGGATTGAACCCACAACCTGGGCATGTGCCCTGACCAGGAATTAATCCATGACCTCCTGGTTCATAGGTCAACACTCAACCTCTGAGCCACACCAGCCAGCCTAGATGCAGTTCTGATTAGTTAATAACTATTTTTTAAAATATCTTTGTAATAGTGGCCCATTGCACAAAGATTCATGCAATAGGCCTTCCTTCGCCTGGCCGCCAGCACCAGTTTTCCTCTGGCATCCGGGACCCAGGCCTTTGGTCCGGCCACAGCAGCGAGGCTTGGCTTCTCTGCTCCAGTTGCTCCCAGCTCCTCCTTTTTTTTTTTCCCAGCTCCTCGAGCGGAGGCCAGGGCTGGATGGAAGCCTGGGTCGCCCCCAGTGACCCAGGCCCCCAGGCCCCCACCCCCTCCTGAGCGGAGTCCAGGGCCGGCGGGAAGCTTGGCTTCCTCCGTCGCCGGGAGCAACCCAAGCTTCCTGCTCGCTCCAGCTCTTTGGCCGCAGCCATCTTCAGTCGTCTTCAGTCTTCGCTCTGTGCCTGCATATGCAAATTAACCGCCATCTTTGTTGGTTTAATTTGCATAGTCACTCTGATTGGCTGGTGGGTGTAGCGGAGTGGCGGAGTGATGGTTAATCTTCATGTTTCTCTTTTATTATATAGGCTTGATTTCAGAGAGGAAGGGAGAGGGAGAGAGAGAGATAGAAACATCAATGATGAGAATCATTGATTGGCTGCCTCCTGCACGCCCCCTGCTGTAGACCGGTCTGCATCCCGAGCGTGTGCCCTGACTGGGAATCAAACCGTGACCTCCTAGTTCATGGTGATGCTCAACACTGAGCAACACCAGCCAGGCCACTGACATTTTTAAAAGTTCATAATTGACAACTTTAGTATTTTTCCTTTCAGCAGCAGATATTTGTAATGCATGTCATACCTGCAGCCCCGGGGCAGTCCCAGCCCAGAGGCTGACCTCTGCTGGGGAAGGGTCCTCTCACCCAGAGAGCCTGCTGCCCTCGGAGAGCCTGCTGCCCTCGGAGAGCCTGCTGCGGGCGAGCAGGGCCCGTGCGGTGGCCTCCCTTACGATTGCTGGGCTCTCCGAGGGAGGAGCGGAGAGGCTTGGATTATAGTACAGTCTCCCTGTGTGTAAATGTTTTCCCACAAAGATAGAGCTAGTGACTAAAATGTGCGAGTGTTAAATGTTATATTGGGGAAACACTCATGAAAGCAAATGGAAAGGTTAAAAGAGTTGCTTCCTCTCTCAGCCTCAGCACTTACTAGGGTAACTCACCCTGGTTCCCCTCCTCCAGGCATGGGGAGGAGACCGTTCACTCGCCACAGAGCTGTCCCCAGCAGTCCTTGCAGGGTCCAGGAGCCCACAGGGCCAGTGTGTGGGGCCGCGGGGCTCTGCTGGCTTGCTTGTCTTTTGGAAAGAGATTTCTTGCACCACCAGAGAGGCACCCTGAGCTCCACCCCACGCCACCTCTGCCCCTCGTCACAGAAAACAGGAGCGACTTGGCGCTGCAGCAGTGGCCCTCCCCGGCCTGCTTTTCCAGGCCCCTCACATGCCATCGTCCCTCCCTAGACCTGGAGCCCCCAGCCCCAAAGGAGCTGAGTTGGGGGGCAGCAAGTCCCCTGCCAAGTTGTTTGAAAAACCTGCCCAGGGTGTTCAGCCAAGACCCAAGGCGGGAGGAGGGATTCATGAACAGAACCACCAGCAGGCAGGAAGCTGGGAGCCGAGCAGGCCGGGCCAGGCTCTGTTGGTGGAATTGGGGTGCCCTCCTTCTCGGGGTGAAAGCCTTGGCCCTCCCTCCTCTACATGGGTGGGACCAGGGTGCACCCACCATACACACGCCTGTGCCACCTCGTGCTGGGAGCATGTGGCCTCCGGAGCAGTGCACAGCCAGCCACTGCCACCTCGGGGTACATCGGGTCAGAGCCAGCCGTGTCCACACGTGTGTTCACATGTGCCCCAGAGAAAAGGGGGGCGTGCACTTGTATGAATCCATGCATGGTGTCCTCACATGTGCCTATGCCCGCAGAGAGGGTGGGGATGCGTGGGCATGGGTGTGTACTCATGTCTGTGGACATGCAGACGCAAATGGACTGGGAGTCCGCGTGCTCCAATGTGCACGCCCAGTGAGTGTGTGTGCGGATTCGAGGAGAGAGAGCCCCCAGCCCCAGCCTCGTTCTCGGGTTGGGAGACTGGGCGCCTGAGCTCTCTGGGATTGGACTGATGGAGGTGGTGTCAGTATGTCCTACAGTATGTCTCCCCACCCCCAACTAGTGGAGCCGGGGCTCCCCACCTGACGCTGTGGTTTTCACTCAGAAGAGCTCTGATAAAGCCCACCTTCCAGAAGAGGGCAGGGTGTCCTGGGGCCCACGGGGGCCTGTCCGGGAGGCCTGGCCTGGAGTCCTGGTGGCCATGGACCTGGGTGGTGGGGCTGGCATCCTCTTGCTCCCTGGAGGCACGGGCCTACCCCTGGCTCTGCTCTCCGTCCCCCCTGGCTGACGAGCGCCCCCTTGCAGGCGCTCCATGAAGTACATGCTGTGCAGCGACAACCACGGCATCAAGCCGCCCACCCCAGAGCAGTACCTGACGCCGCTGCAGCAGAAGGAGGTGTGCATCCGGCACCTGAAGGCCAGGCTGAAGGACACGCAGGACCGGCTCCAGGACCGGTGAGCAGGTGGCCAGGGGCAGCCCTTGGCAGCCCGGGGGCACGCTCCGCACTCCAAGGCACCAGGGCCCTGGGCATCGCCGGGAGGAGGGAGCGGCTTGGGGAGCCCATTTCCAGAGCCCCTGCGGGTCCCTGTCCCCCCTGAGTTGCTGTCTTTGACCTCAGGAAGCTGCTTGGGGCCAAGCCAGGAGCAGTTTCTCCCAGGAGGGCTTGTCGGACTTCCCACCCAGGGCAGGGCTCTCCCGGTAAACCCGGCAGCCCCTCTGGCCACTTCTCCCTGGCTCCTTCCCTCCTGGGCAGTGAGTGCGCAGGGCTGTCTTCCCGGCCTTCCTTCTCTGTGAGGGAGGAGCAGCCCATTGGCCCTGCTCGTCCCCAGGGGACTCCTGACCCACCAGTTCCAGCCCCAGAGCCTTCCTCCTCATCCGTTATAGATGGTGTTCAGTCAGGAGAAATCTGTGAGCTCCTCCCCAGCCCGGGGGTCTCCCAGGACCCCCTTGGGCCCCCCTCAGTGCGTTCTCCAGACCTGAGGGCCAATGCTTGGCTTCCCCCTGTCCAGGCCAGTGGCCTCATCTTCAGGGCCACCCTCCGATCTCCTCCTCGCCTCCACCATCTTCTCTGACTGTGTTGATTTTGATGTGCAGCCCACCGGGAGCTGTGGGCGCTCTGGGGCACTGGAGGGCGGGGCCAGCCCCCACGACCAGGTCTTCCTTCATCTCCTTTTCACATATAACAACTCTGTTGATTGTAAATCACATGCCACACAATCTATTGTTTCTGTTATAGTCACAGAACTCTGCACCCATCACAGTATCTAATTCCAGAACATTTCACCCCAGAAAGGAACCCACTCCCAGCAGCAGTCATGCCCGCTTCTCTGCATCCCCCCAGCCCCTGGGAACCACGAGTCTCTGTCTCTACAGACTTGTCGGTCCCGGGCACTGAGGTCACGGGAAGCACACAGTTCACACGCCACCTCTTCCTCGAACCGTGGCAGCTGCAGGCGGCGCTCTGGGCCTCCTTGTCTGCAGGGCTGGTGTTTCTGTTTTTCTTTCCCCTCAACGATGCCCTGAGCTGTCTGCACAGAGGTCTCAGGAAGGAGGCGGCCCCTCTCACAGCTTCGAGAGCCGGCCTGCGGCTCTGAGCAGGCAGCGTGCCCTGCCGTGGAGGGCCTACACCTAACCCCTGGCCGCTCCCTGCCTGCTACCCTTGCGGGAACCTGTGGCTGTTCATCACCGGCTTCACTCCACACTCTCTGTGTATCCAGTTTGCTGCCTGCCGTTCCAGCGGTCGCCTCCCTCTCAGTAATCTTTTACACCCTGTGGTTTCGGAGGCTGTGTCCCTACTTCCTGGGATGGCCTTTCCCCATCTGACTTTCTTGGCAAACTTATCCTTTAGGGCCCAGTTCAAAGATAAAGCCCCAGGCAAGACTGGGAAGCCACAGTCCCGGGGACCCTGCCGGCTCCAAGGAGAGGGGGCAGGTGCCCGCAGAGCTGAGCATGCCCAGCTCTTTCTTCCAAACTCACTCTTCCTCCCTAGGCTCCATGTCAGTGAGGAGGGTCCCCGTGGGATGAGCCCCCACCCTGAGGAGTGAAGGGCGAGTACCCCCATACCTGCTGGCATCGCTGTTGCTGCCAGTCTGAGCCTGTTGCTGCCGCATCCTGGGCACCCTGCGGCTGCGATTCCTGGGCCCACTTCCTGAACTGCATTTCCGATCTCACTTTGAAAATAAACGATGCCTGATCTGGGACTGTCATTCTAATGGGATCGAGAACCCCAAAGTGACGTTGTGCCGCTTGTGGGCTGTATTTGCACAAACGCCGGCCGGCGGCTGCGTGTGGCCGTGTCACCGAGGGGTGTGCTGCAGGAGGGACCCCAGGCCGGCTCCAGGCTCACTGCTTTCTCACGGCTCTGGTCCGTCTGGTGTGAGCTCTGGGCTTGATGGCATCTTTGTCGAACTCACCTCCCTCCCCCACGGCCCCCAAGTCATCGTCAGCTCAGGGACTTACAGCCCGAGAGTTTCTGGACAAGGGTCTGCTGACTGTCGGGTTCACCTGGCACTTGCCTCTTCCCTCAGGAGTAGCTGTGTGCCTTTTTGCCCTCTTTTGCCTTTGTTGTTGTTGTTGTTGGCTTTCCTCTTTACAGTAGGTATAAAGCAGAAATGTCCCCCCGGATGAAAGAGTGCCGCCCTGTTTCATCGTTCCCCTCTGACTGCCCACTTCTCCCTCCTCTTGAGGGAAGATGTGGAATTCCCAGCTTCCCTCCCGCCTCCAGCCCCCATGTTGCAGGTGCTCATTTAAAGGCGGCCAAACAGGAGGCCACATCCCTTCCCATAGAGCAGACCGTAGGTTTCCTTCTGTGGTTGTACGTTAAGATGTTTAAGGGTGCCTTGGGTTTTTATAGCAGGAGCACCTTGAAATTGAGGCTCTTTACCGTCTGCTCTGCTCCGCAGGTGATGGATTTAAACGAGGGGGTGGGATGCTGTGCTGTCTCTTGCCCCATTTCCTCTCCCCCCTCCCTCTCGCCCCCCTCCTTCCGGGAGGAGGCCTCTCCTGTCTTTACCGCTTGGCCCTCTCCCACCCCCTCACCCTGGGGAGTAAGGAGAAGGAAGGAGCATTGAGCAGATCCTGGTTTCAGCTCTGTGAGCCGGCGGCACAGGCCGTCTGTCCGTGTGGCAGCCCCCTCCTGACCTGTCCCCCTGGTGGCGGTGCCAGGCCAGCAGTGAGCATGGGTCTCGTCCGCCACAGGGACACCGAGATCGACGACCTGAAGACACAGCTGTCGCGCATGCAGGAGGACTGGATCGAGGAGGAGTGCCGCCGCGTGGAAGCCCAGCTGGCCCTGAAGGAGGCCCGCAAGGAGATCAGGCAGCTCAAGCAGGTCATCGACACCGTCAAGAACAACCTGATGGACAAGGACAAGGGGCTGCAGAAGTACTTCACGGACATCAACATCCAGAACAAGAAGCTGGAGACGCTGCTGCACAGCATGGAGGTGGCCCAGGACGGCACGGCCAAGGAGGACAGCGTCGGGGAGTCAGCAGGCGGCTCCCCCGCCCGCTCCCTCACCCGCAGCTCCACCTACACCAAGCTGAGCGACCCGGCCGTCTGCGGGGACCAGCCCCCCGGGGACCACCCTGGCTCCTCCACGGAGGACGGGGCTGACAGTGGCTTCGCAGCCAACGATGACGCCATGAGCCGGACGGACGTGCTGGAGGCCAGCAGCCTGCTGTCGTCGGGGGTGGACTGCGGCCCCGAGGAGGCCTCGCTGCCCAGCTCCTTCAGCCTGGGGCCCCGCTGCCCGGCCAGCAGCACCTACGAGAAGCTGTTGTGCGGGATGGAGGCCGGCGTGCAGGCCAGCTGCATGCAGGAGCGCGCCATCCAGACAGACTCGCTGCAGTACCAGCCTGACCTAGACACCATCCTGGAGAAGGTGACCCAGGCCCAGGTCTGCGGGACGGGTCCCGAGTCAGGGGGCAGGCGCCCGGAGCCGGAGCCCCACCCCCCAGGGCCCAGAGACCCCAGCTCAGCGGTGGTGGTGACGGTGGGTGATGAGGTGGGTGATGAGCTGGAGGCCCCGGAGCCCATCACCCGCGGGCCGACCCCACACCGGCCCGGTGCCAACCCCAACCCCAGCCTGTCGGTGAGCGTGGCGTGCCCCGTGGAAGAGGAGGAGGAGGCGGCCGAGCCCAAGAGCTACTGGAGCCGCCACTACATTGTCGATCTGCTGGCCGTGGTGGTGCCCGCGGTCCCCACGGTGGCCTGGCTCTGCCGCTCCCAGCGGCGCCAGGGCCAGCCCATTTACAACATCAGCTCCCTGCTGCGGGGCTGCTGCACGGTGGCCTTGCACTCCATCCGCAGGATCAGCTGCCGCTCGCTGAGCCAGCCGGGCCCCAGCCCCGCCGGCGGCTCCCAGCTCTGAGGCCTTCCTGGCCAGGGGCTCGGGCGGCCTGACCCCTGATTGTCAGGGTGCCGTCCTCCCTCTCGCCCATCCCCGTGGGGCATCATCTTACTTAGTTCTGGGTTCGGAAGTGGTGTTTTCTGGATGTTAACAGTGTGGGGGCTGGGCGTCGGAGCCTGGACAGGAGAGAGGGGAAAAGAGACCAAAGGCAGGGAGGCCCGCTGTAGGACCGAGTGCAGGGGAGTCCTCACCCCGGCCCCTCCGCTCAGCCCTTCACAAGGGCGGCCCCTGCTCAGGAAGTCTCTGGTGTACTGAGCTGGAGAGGCTGGACCTCAGTTGCCCACTTCAGTCTCCCCATCCTCCACCCACCACATCCTGTTCAGTTCCCTGATCACTCCACACCACCCCTGCCCTCAGCCCGGCGTCTGGACCAGTATTATCTCCTCAGGTGCAGGCAGCTGCGACCCAAAGTGCAGGCTCCTGGCCCAGGACTGCGAGCAGAGCCTGAACTGCCGGGCCTGGCTGGAGCCCCAGCCCCTCAGACTGCTCCACACTTGGGCGAAAGGTGGAGATGGGCAAGAGGGGCAGAGGGCAGTGTGGGTTCTGCATCTGTCGGCCCCAGACCTTCCCTACGGTCCACTTTCCTCCTGACATGTCTGGGCGTCAGATAATTCTTCCTGTGAGAGCTAAGCCAGACGGCTCGGTGCTGGGGGAGGAAGGCTCCTCTCCAGAGTGCCAGCACGAGGAGAGGAGGCGGGCTGGCAGCTCGGGCCCCTCCGGCCTGAGATGAGGCCCTGTGGTCTGGGAGGCCGGGCTGCACTCAGCAGTCCTCAGCTGGTGTGGACAGCCAAGGCCATGACGGCCCTGCAGCGCACCCTGACTTTCTCTGGGGCCTCAGGCCCAACTTCTGCTTTGCACTGTGCTCACTCGGGGCTTGGTTCTCATGTATCCGGACCTCCTGAAAGGGGGCTGCTTACTGTCTAGGGTGAGGGTTCCTGGATCTTAGACTCATGTGCCTCAGGGGGAATTACTGCAGGATGAATGGCAAGACGGAACTGAAGCCATGTTGTCATCCAAGCCAAAGCAGGTGCCCTGGGTGTTTCGTGGGGAGCGAGGGGGGAGCCCGCAGACACCCTGCTTCCGGCCCAAGCCCAGCCTGGGAAGGCTCACTGTCCTCCCTCCATCCCCAGGACCACATCAGGGCCCCCAGAAACGCTGCTGACCTTTTATTACCATTACTAGTGCCCCGGTACACGGATTCATGCACATTGAAGGGAAATTAATTAGAAGGTGGCTGGTGGGGCGGGACTGGGCGAGACAGGCCAGACATGCCCTGGAGCCAACCTCCCGTGGTCCCTCCCCGGCTGGCCACACCTGGGGCAGCGCTGGGCTCAAAGGCATCTGCGGAGTGAGCGGGGCCCCTCTGGCGGGTGGGGTCCCTCGGCCTGGCCTGCGGGGATCAGGCCAAAACTGGCTCTCTGACATTCCCCGAGGGGTCCCAGATTGCAAGAGGGCAGTTCTCGGGTGATGCAACCTGGAATCGGGCTCCCTCCTCTCTGGTTCCAGGGTGCATCACCCAAGAGCCACTGCTGCCAAGTCACCGCAGCTCAGCAGCTCCTGCATTGAGCATCTGCCCCCAGTGGTCAGTGCGCGTCATAGCTACTGGTCAGACGGTCGGATGGTCACTTAGCCTTTTATATATATAGATTATTTTACAAAGTAAACCCGGTCCTTTTTCCCTTCAGGGCTGACACCCATCTGGTTGTCCCACCCACTCTTCAGAGTTAGGCCCCACACTTGGGGTTGGTGGGACCCTGTGTCCTACTCACCCCTCTGGCCTATGGGACACACTGGTTCTCTGCCAAGGTTGCTTGCCCACCCCTGCTGCTCCGGAAGCCGTTGCCTGACTCACGGGCTCTGCCCTTCCTTTCTGCGCCCTCCCCTCACGGGGGGCAGCGCCTGCATGCACTGGGAGTGGGCAGCCGGCCCAGCCATTGGGGCAGCGGCCCCCTCTGCCACGCGCTTTGTGCCTCCAAAGCTCCCCCTCCTCGGTCTGGGCCTCAGGCCGCCTTCCTTTGTGGAGCACCTCCCACCCCAGCCGAACTGAGCCCGAGCTCCTGGGGCCTGGCCAGGGCTGCCCAGGGACGCCGGGGCCGTGGCCTGGGGGCAGGACAAGCCCAATCCAAAGCCAAGCCGGGACTGGCCGGGACCCAGCCTCCCGAGCCACGTACTCACAGGCCGCGTAGTGTCTCCTTAGAAACAGGCAAAGCTTTGCTGAGGAAATAAACGTATGACTCTATTTGACAACATAAAATCTATATATTTTTCACCACGGGAATTCAGTGGAGCTGCATACCCCCTCTGCTCTTGTCTATGTCTTGCTGTCTGTGGCCTTCCTGTTGTGTCTTACGTTTTGGTGGATGTGGTCAGGGCTGGGGCCACAGTCAACACTGTCTGCTGCCGGAGAAGCCACTGGTGAAGGGCTGGCCGGGCTCGGACCCGAAGCCTCTGGGTGAGGTGAGTGGGTCCAGCCGTCACCCTCTGTGCCTCCTCTGGCCTGAGACTAGCCTGTCTGGGTCCCAGGGGTCCTGTTCTCAGCATTGAGGGTCCTCGCTCTTGGGAGGGAGGGGTCTGGTGGGGCCTTGGACGGGCGTTTCTTTGTGTTAGTGGAGGAGGCGGCTTACCGGCAGCCCTGAGACAGCCCGGGGGACCCTGTCGGTCAGTGGCCCCCAGGGCTCCTGCGTGTGTGTGTGTGTGTGTGTGTGTGTGTGTGTGTGCGCACTCAGTGTCCGCATCTATGCAAAAGGTGCAGCGCTCCCTGTGCGGCTGCCGGCGGTGGAGTGGGGCCTGCCCCCCTGACTATGCAGGGCACAGAATGTGGGGCTGAGTGCTCATTCTGCACGTGTCTGCTTCACGCCTCCTCCCGTTGGGCTGTGACCTTTCCCGCCTGCCCTCCGCTTCTGGAGCAGAAATCCGTGGGCCCCCCTTTCGCCAGCCTCTGCCAGGGTGGATGGTTAGGTCCTACGGGACAGTGTTTCCAGGAGTCACTTTCTGGAAACGCTGGCCCCGTGGAGCCCAGCAGGGAAAGGTGGCTTCTTCATTGTCGGGCCCGGGCCAGAGCGGCCCTGCTGCTCCTCTGGTCCAGGCTCAGGCGGAATCAGAGTCGGGCCAGGACTCCGCACACAGAGCTGGCCGGGCGGAGTTTACTGCCTGTCTCCCAAGGGGATGACTTCGCTCTTCACTGAACACCTTCCCAGTCGCCAGGCGCTCAGCTAGCCGGCTGCAGCACAGGAGGCTGACGGCCTTGGGGAGGGGCGGGCAAAGGACAAGGTTCTGGGGCAAAGGTCTACGGAGGGGCCTTTGCCCAGTGACCTCATGATCCCCTCTCTGACCTGGGGGCACAGTGCACCCCAGGCACAGTGCACACTCACACTTGGCCATCCCAGTGACAGAATTCAGGGGCCCGGGAAGGGGGGAGGTGGGAGGGGCATTCACTTTGGTCTCCTTCGTCCTTTTGTTCAGACAGAGTTGTACCTGCAGCAGACGACTCTGAATTAAAGCATGAAAACACACACGACCCTCAGTCTGTTTCTTGATGTCTTTTTTCTGAGGTGGCGGGTGAAGGGGGCTCAAGCTGTCCCCACCCGCGTGGGAGGCAGAGCGTGCCCCCTGGCAGGCGTCTTCTCCAGGTCAGGGGACACGAGCTGTGGGTGGTTCCGCTCCGCCCCCGCCCCCGCCCCTCATTGGGGAGCGGGGACAAAGCATCTAGAAGCACCTCCCTCCGTGTCAGACCCTGAGCGCATCCATTCCTCCTCCCCTCACCAGTTCTCGCGCCCGTTCTGCACGTGCACAGCAGCCTGGCCGGAGAGAGGGGTGTCCACAGCTGGTCCCCTCTTCCAGGGCCCACACGGTCCCCCACTAGCCGTCCCGCCTCCGATGGCAGGCAGCCTGAGACGGGTCGGAGCACTAACGGCTCTCAGAGGCAATGCATAGGCAAGGCCTTGGTCTCACGATTGCTTGAAAGAAAACCAGCCCGGCATGTCCTGGGGCTGAAATTCTGGACTTTTCAGTGACTTTGGAGGAAGGAATTTTATTTAAAATCAAAGCTTTATTCAAAAGATAAGTGAGGAGTTCTACCCATGTACAGTGTGTGTCAAAGATCAAGTAAAGGGGAAAATTCTCACAAGGAATGTGCTTCTGTTCTCTCAATGTGGACTGTCCTTCTGGTAGAGGTGACGTCTCGAAAGGGACCCAGCTGCCCCTTCCGGAGGCCCTGAGCCGGCTGCCGCGACACGGAAACCCGCGCAAGCGCTGCCTGTGGCCCTGGCCCGCCGTAGTCCAGGCAAGTCAGGCTCCGCGGAGGCTGCGCTCCACATGAAGATGCTGTGCTCTGCGGTCACACACACACACCCGCCGAGCGCACCCCGTCAGCACATCCCGGCTCAGGCAGCAGGTCTCCGAAACCCGAAACCTGCGTCCTGAGGCCTCTGCGTTCCTGCAGGAGGGAGGGCAGAGCTGCCCGTGATGTCAGACATCTGGGATGGAGTGGTCCATGGTGTGGCGGAGCAGCGTCGGGGACAACCTGGATACAGCAACAACGACAGTGGCCACACGGGCAGTGCCTTCCCTCCTCCCCGCGGCCTGTGCCTCCCACGTGGGCCTCCACTTCTATCTCTAAGATTTCCAGCCACCAGCCACGCTGAAGGGGGTGGGTGGGGGCGGGCAGCTGGCTGTGCACTGAGCTCTGAGGAGGCGGGGCAGAGGGGAGTGGGGAGGGGTGGGAAGAGCGAGGGAGCGCCTTACTTTTTGACCATGTGCTCGTAGATCACGGTGGGGATGATGGTCAGGGTGATGACGCTCCCGGCCGTGGCCAGAATCTCCGTGACCTCTTTGTCCTAGAGAGGAGGCGAGAGAGCGGTCACCCCGGGCCAGGAGTAACTCTGCAGGCAACGCTAAGGCTGGGTCAGCGTGGCCTCTGCTGGGGAGCCACTGGCACCCGGCTTCGGGGGGAGGGCTGCCCTCAGGGGAGAGTCCCAGGCAGACACCTGGTGAGGCCCTGCTTGACCGAGAACGTGGACCTCCCCTGAGGCTCCCCTCTGTGAATGGGCCATTCCCCACCCTCGTCTCAAGGGCCAGTCACCTGGGCTTGACGGAACAGGGCCTTACAAACAGAACTGCGCTCCTTCCCTCACCCACAGAGGCCCCGAATCTCACCAGCCACATCTCCTATCCCATCTCCCTGGGCCCGGCCAGGTTCTGGCCCCAAAGCAGGAAGAAAACAGCCATGCAGTGGAGACATTAGGTGCACCACCCCCGCCGGGCCCGTTGGCCAGCCAGCCTGAGCTGCCCACAGGGGCCCTTCCTCTTACATCTCACTCAGTGAAGAGGAAAGACCTGCAGAAGCCGGTGAGATCCTGGGGACACAACACAAAGTCTCCATGCAAAGTGTGCCAAGCACCCCAACAGCTAGAGCGATGGCAGCAGAGCCCTGGCCCGTCCAGAGACTAGAGGCCTTGACTTCACTCTAGCTTGGTTTCTGTTGTCGGGTTGTTCCAGGATAGAGGGGAGAAGACGTGCTGGATAGGACTGGTGATGGCCAGAGTGAAAGCAGATGAACTGTGAAGAGATCATCTCAAGCAGCATAGCGCTCTGTGGCCACCTGTCAGGGGGCCAGCCCGGTCCTAAGAGCCTCACACGCTGTGGCTTGGCAGGGTCACGGGTAAGCCCGTAACGCAGCCGTGAGCCGTCCGAAAGGAGAGGACCGGCAGCCCCTGTAGACTGACGGCTCTCAGGATCCATGAGCGGTAATGCTCTCAAAGGACGGATTCATTCATACCCAAAAGAGCCGGCTACTCAGAATTGGTACCAGTGTGCCAGCTTTCCAGGTATGGGGGTTCCCTTCGGACTGTCACACCTGATCCCTGAGGGGAGAGATGCAGCAGGAAGGACCTAGGACAGACATTAGGAAGCACTTCCTGATCACAGTGAGCTACCAGAACCTGCCTCCAGGGAAGGCGGGGAGACCACCAGGCACAGGGAAGCAGATGTGACAGGAAAGACTTGGTGCTGGTCCTTGTGAGGGGTGGAGAATGAATGCCGCCACCCAGGCCATTCTGCAGGGGGTCCTGCCTTGTGAGCCCAGAGCCCTGGCTGCAGGAGGGGAAGGGCCTCATCTAAATCACACCTGCGATGAGAACCACTCTTATCCAGGAAGCAGCATCAGGTTAGGATAACATTACTTTCACTTGTTCAGGGACCAAAAGCCATGTGACTCGGCATCCTCTGTGGTCCATTCCCTGAAGGCACCCACCTTCAGTCCAAGCCCCTAGCAATGACTCGAGACCACTTATATTTTTCAAAAATAAAAGTCGCTACACACCTCTCCTCAAAAAGTGAACAAAGGTCAGAAATGGATTTCTGAAGAACTGTTTTCAGAAACATTCCTGTCACGTGATCTAGGATGCAAGCAGAAGTACCACACAAGTAGGGAGGTATTCATGCAGCCCGTAGCCACCTGGGCACCTGTGGCCTTTCACATGTCACCACACCCCCTCTTTCTGTCACACCTTTGACCTCCATGTGTTAGTATCAATAGCTAATATTTATTGAGCACTGACCATTGCCCAAAGTTCTATGTACTTACTGTCTTATCGACTCCTCGCAGCAACCTTAGGATGAAGAAACGAGCTCGGATGGTGCCCACAGACATGAGCCCTCCCACCACCCAGCAGCCTCCTGCCCTTGTAGCCCTGGGGCAGAGCCGGCCGCTGGCCTACCTTCAGCCCGATGACATTCTGCCCATTCACTTCACACACGTAGTGGTTGGTGAGAAGCCCGTTGCGGGCCGCAGAACTCCCTTTGACCACAGAGACCACCTTCCCCTTCTTGATGATGAAGCCCACGTGGCCGGTGCTGTCCCTGTGCATGGTGACCGTCCGCTGGAAAGGCCTGCCGGAGAGGGACAGTGAGCGGGGCTTGGGCCGGGGCTGCAGGCGGACAGAGGAGCTCCTGCCACGGGCACTCACCGGTCCCGAACCACCATGACGATCTTCTCTGCTGAAGCCCTCTTCACCGCCCGGTGCGCTCTGTCTGTGCTCCACCCGGCACAGTCGCGCCCGTCCATCTGCAGGATCTGGTCCCCAAAGCGCAGCCCCACCAGGGATGCAGGGGTGTTGACCTGTACCAGCTGCACGAAGAGCCCCTGGGAGAGGCAGGGCCCCAGTCAGCGCGCCCGAGAGCCCAGGTCCCTCCTAGGTGCTGTTTCCTCCTGGTGCTCTGGGGGCCTATAGGGTGCGGAGACGGAGACGACAGCTCTGCCAGCGGGTACACTGGCTCCCCATTTTCCTGGTGAGGAAACTCCCAGCCACACAGCTAGGGAGCACCTGAGGCAGAATTTCAAGCCTGGCTGGTGGCCGCACCCCCAAGCACTGGCCCGCAGCCTCTCCCGACGGCATCAAGGCCCTAGGACAGCCGCCTGGCAGCCAGAACCCTGTGAATCGGGGGACGCGGGGAAGGGAGGCTCTGAGCAGCGGGAGCCCCCGAGAGGCAGCTGGTGGGTCCCTCAGCAATCCAGTGCCAGGCCTTGGGCCTTGGGGGAGGGGCCAAGAGGAAGGGGCTGGGCTTGGGAGTTAGGTGGGCCTTGCTCCCAGCACCCTCTGCATCTTCCCCACCCCCACCCCCACCCCCACCCCGCAATGCCCTCCCCAGCTGCTGGGCTGTGCAGCCGAAGCCCTGAAGGCGCGGAGCTCGGGTGGCGCAGGCTGCTTACGGGTGCTGCCCACCACCCCGCTCCCGCCAGGCCGCCAGCCCCACCTTGTTGATGGCCCGCAGCCGCAGCCCCGTCTTGCCGCGCTCGTCCTTGCAGAGATGGACCTCACGCACCCCGGGCTTGATCTCCGCTCGCCGCACGCCCAGGCTGTTCCCGGACACCGGCGCCACCACCTGGCCCGGCGAAGGGCCAGAGACCACCGTCTGCAGACACCAGGGGAGGAGGGGGTCAGCGGGCCCCTGGGGCCTCGAAAGGAGGGGGAAAGGAGGATGGAATGGGCCCTGGGGCCTCGCCCACCAGCAGATCGGCTGGAGCCCAGAGGGGACATGACTCCATGAAGCCACTAGGGGGCAGCCAAGTCCACGGCCTTGAAAAACAGCCAGGAAAATGAGGAAAGAGCAGGGCTATACAGAAAAGAGGCCCTCGTTTTCCAAGGCTAATTGATATCAGGTAAAGACCTCCTTAAAATTCACTTTTAAGTAAAAGTAAGTAAAATTACAAAACAGCAATAGTGACCAATGGGAAAAAGTGGTTTCAGTTTGAATTTTTTCTAAAAATAAAAACGAATGCTTTCCCCCTAAGATCCAGAACAGATAACATGTCCAAGCTCACCACTACTATTAAATATAGGACTGAAAGAACTAGCCAGAGCAATAAGGCAAGAACAGGAAATAAAAGACATACAGATAGGCCGAAACCGGTTTGGTTCAGTGGATAGAGCATCGGTCTGTGGACTGAAAGGTCCCAGGTTCGATTCCGGTCAAGGGCATGTGCCTGGGTTGCGGGCACATCGCCAGTAGGAGATGTGCAGGAGGCAGCTGATCGATGTTTCTAACTCCCTATCTCTCTCCCTTCCTCTCTGTAAAAAATCAATAAAATATATTTTTTTTAAAAAAGACATACAGATCGGAAAAGAAAAGTTAAATGGTCCCTATTTGCAGATGACATTATGGCCTACTAGAAAATTCCAAGGAATCTATGAGTAAACTCCCTAAACTAATAAATGGGTTCAGCAAGGTCACAGGACACAATATCAACATACAAAAATCAAGTGTACTTCAATATACTAGCAATGAACCTGTGGAAACCTAAATTAAAAATACAATACCACTTACGATCACTCTAAAAAGCTTATAAGCCCTGGCCGGTTGCTCAGTGGTTAGAGCGTCGACGGAAGGGTTGTGGGTTAGATTCCAGGTCAAGGGCATGTACCTCGGTTGCAGGCTCAATCCCTGACGCCCGGTCAGGGTGCGTGCAGGAGGCCACACATCAATGTGTATGTCTCTCTCACATCGATGTTTCTCTCTCCTCCCTCTCTGTGCCCCTCCACCCTCCCCTCCACTCTCTCTAAAAAAAAATCAATGGAAAATATATCCTCAGGTGAGAATTAAAAAAAAAAAGCTTATAAGTTATAAATCTAACAAAACATGTATAGAAATTGTATGTTGAAAATTAAAAAACACTGATAAAAGATATCAAAGATCTAAATAAACATAGAGATTCATGGATTTGAAGAAAATCAAAAAACTGTCAAAGGTCCCCAGTTGATAATACAGATTTGATATCTATCAAAACCCCTGTAAGATGTTTCCTAGATTTAGGCAAGGTTAATCTGAACTTCATATGAAAAGACAAAGGAACTAGAATAGCTAAAACTATCCTGACAAAAAGGAAAGTGAGAAGACACACTCAACCAAATTTCAAGATTCATTATATAGCTAAGTAATCAGGACAGTGTGGTGTTAGTGGAGGGATGGACACTTATGAAACAGAACAGCCTCCCATAAGTAGGGCCGGCTGTTTTCACAGAGATGCAAGAGTAGTAGTTCAATGGAGAAAGCATAGTTTTTTCCACAAATGGTATAGGAGCAATTGAACATCCATAGCAAAAACATGAACTTGGACCTTTACCCCACACCTCATATAAAAATTAACTCAAATTCAATCATAAATTTAAATGTAAAACATAAAACTATAATGGTTTTAGAAAGGAAAGAATCTTCAGGACCTAGAGCTTAGTGAAAATTCCTTAGGACAGCAAAGCATGACCCACAAAAGAAAAAAAATCAATAAATTGAACCCCATCAAAATTAAGAGTCTCTGCAAGAGACCCTTTTAATAGGATGAGAACAGAAGCTACACACTGGGAGAAGATATTTACAAACCACATATCTAATGAGTGACTCTAGAATAAAGAACTCTCAAAAACTGACTTAGCCCTGGCCACTGTGTCTCAGTGGTTAGAGCAGCCGTGGGCAAACTACGGCCTGCGGGCCGGATCCGGCCCGTTTGAAATGAATAAAACTATTGAAAAAAAAAGACCGTACCCTTTTATGTAATGATGTTTACTTTGAATTTATATTAGTTCACACAAACACTCCATCCATGCTTTTGTTCCAGCCCTCCGGTCCAGTTTAAGAACCCATGTGGCCCTCGAGTCAAAAAGTTTGCCCACCCCTGGGTTAGAGTGTTGGCCTTCGCACCAAAGAGTGATGGGTTCAATTCCCGGGCAAGGGCATGGTCGAGGGCATGTACCTCGGTTTTGGGTAAACTCTGCTCCCCCCCCCGCCCGGCCCCCCCAGTCAGGGCGAGTTTGGGAGGCAACCAGTCCATGTGTCTCTCTCACATCAATGTTTCTCTCACTCCCTCCCTCCCTTCTACTCTCTCTGAAAAGCAAAGGAAAAAATATCCGCAAGTGAGGATTAACAAAAAAACAACACTTGACTTAAAAAAGCAAACAATCCATTTAGAAAATAAGCAAAAGATATGAGGAAACAATTCACTGAAAAGAATATAGATAGTAAATAAGATCATAGAAAGATGTTCAACATCACTAGCCATTAGGGAAATGCAAATTAAGACCTTGATAAGATTCCAATAAACACCCATCATAACAGCGAATACTAAAAATGGTGATAAAACCCAGCGCTAGTGAGGATGTGAAGAAACTGGGCTGTCGTGTGTTGCTAACAGGAAAATAAAATGGTCAAACCACTCTAGAAATAGGTGAGCGATTTCTCTAAAAATGTAAACATTCATTTATCATACAGCCTCGCAATTGCACTCCTGGGCATTCACCCCAGATAAACAAAAACGTATGTTCATACAAAACCTGTCTACAAACATCACAGCAGCTCCATCTGTGACAAATTGGAAACAACGAAGTGACCCTCAACAGCGTAAGCAAACTGTGGCACATCCACACCATGGACACGGCTCAGCAGTGAAAAGGGGGAACTGCTGATGCACGTGACAAGCTGGAAGCATCTCCAGGGCCTGATGCTGAGTGCAAAGGTCACGCACTGTAGGATCCACTGACATGACATTCTGAAATGACGACGTTAAAGGGACAGGAGAGAGAGGAGTGGTTGCCCCGGTGAAGAATAGTGAGGGGGGCGGGCAGACATGATTATGAAGGGCAGCTCCTAGGAGACCTTGGTGGGGATGAAACGCCCTGATTGTGCTGGTGGTTACAGGAATCTCTGCAGGTGATAAAACGACACCGAGCCCTAGACACACCCTGTACCAACGCAAGGCCTGCTCTGACATTATGCTGTCATTATGTAAAACGCAGTCATTGGGAAAACTGGGAGAAGGGTACACGCTTCGGTGCCTTCCTCTGTCCTCCGCAACGTCCTGTGAATCTATGATTATTTAAAAATAAAAAGTTAAAAATAAAAACAAAACTTTAAAATATTATAAAATGCATTCAGCTGTCATATTTTTATCAACACTTAGGTTAAATGCATTTATGTCCTAATTACTGGAACAGAGGGATTAAATCAATGGATTAAAATTGAAGAGATAAACATGACCTTCTTAACGTGGTGTGTGGACTTCACAGCATGACTATCAAGGGGGTCATTTTAGAGAAACACCCCAGCGTCACTAGCTTTTCTCAGGGTCCCACATGTCCTCATCCTTGTCCATGTTCTCCTGTGGATCCTCCCTTGTCAGCAGCTTTGCATGTGGCTGTGGCATTCTCGTTATCACTCCCACCACCCTCTCGAAATCCTCCGGGCCCAGCAAGTCCCCTCGGCACTTTGCCACTGATTTTCACGGGCTCAGGCCGAGACTGGCCGCCAAGGACACGGACAAATGACCGCAGGGGTGCTGGACCTGCCCGGGAGGGGTCTGTGTGGGGACTGAGTCTGTGAGTGAACACGATTTCAAGGGTGAATGTTTCTGTCAGGATTTCTCTTGCTCTCTGAGCCATGGAGCTCGGGAATCAAGCCATGTTGTTTAGTTTGGGGACCAGGGCTGGGTGACAAGCTCCTCCCACCTCGCCTCTGCCTGTCCACGCTGCTGCTCTCACGCTACAGGCAGCCCTTCATGAGAAGCTCCCAGACGCAGGCTGGGTTTAATGTCCTCCCTTCTCCTTCAGCACCCTGCCGCCAGGGGTCAAAGGGCAGGCAGTGGCCCTGCAACCCCAAGGCCCGCGGGACCCCATGAAATCCCACAACACTTGTAATGAGGGCTCAAAACGGGAAGTTCCATCAAGAAATAGGGCTGCAAGAATGTTTCAAAGGCGAGACCAAGAAGGAGGGAGAGTTGGAAGATCTGTGCCCACTTCAGGCAAGAGACAGATACCTACACTGGCACCGTCTGGACTCTGAGGCAGGTTCTGTTGGACTTCTTGGCTGGAGAGGGAAAGACCCATATAATTTTCCAGTTCTGCCAGGTTTGGGTACAAAACTGATGGGAAAGGAAGAAGGAGGAAGAAAGGTGTTACCAAGGTGAGCTTGGCCACAGCTGCTGGCTCCAATGCGGTGGCTCATTTCTGAGAAACGGGGCCTGGGAATGCTGTCAGCGCCAAGGACGCAGCGTCTCCCTGAGAACAGTGTTTCCCGGGGATGGGGTGTGTGGGAGAGGAGGCAGGAACACGCGCTGGTGAGGTGGTCCTCTCCCCAGGTCTGAGGGGCAGGGGTCCTGCTCCCTCCAGGAGCAGCCTGGGACCCCGAGTGCCTCATGTACCCCTTTACTTGGCACCGGCCAGACACCCAACACGAAGTACAGGGCTGGCACTGGGGCCATGAGGCCCTGCTCTTAAGAAATCCACAGAAGCAGGCGTCTGACCCAAAGGCAGCTCAGCTCTGGGGACACTGTGCCCGGGGAGGAGGGGAGAACTGAGCCTAAGTTCAAGTTTGCTGCCAAAACCTGCATCAAGACGGCCACAGACAACAACGCTAGGGGCCACCACAGCATCTGGCCCTCAGGCGGCAGCACAGAAGACGGCCCAAAGCAGGGCAGTGAGCGCCTCACTGGGCCGGTTTTCTCCATGCCCCTCAAAGGGTTCTGGTGACGGTGGGCGTGTCTAGAGCACACAGCAGAGTAGCAGACCAGAGACCAGCACTCGGAGATGCCAGAAGAGGTGACTCTTGGTCATGAGCACCCCACTCACTCACCTGAAGGCTGGGGGACAGGTGTCTCCTGCACAGGCAGGATGGGCATCTTGGGGGTGTCTCTGGCCTGGGCCTGCGGAGAGGTGAGGGGTGCTGGTCAGCTGCGTCTGGGACCGGCCCCCGCCCCACGGAACCGTTGGACCCTAAGAGCGAGGCATTACGTATGCTGGCGGGCCTGGGGGTGGAGGACATCCACGACCCTTTGAGGTCCAGTGTAGATGTGGTCTCTGAGATGTCCATGTTTCTGGGGGAGGTTCATGGTCATGCTCTACGAGCCACCAAATGACCCATTTTCTCCCTGAAGCAGCCAGAACATGGGGGCCAACTCCCAGCCAAGTTCTCAAAAAGTCCCAAACTCTCAACACCCACTGAGACCACAGATGGGATGGAGGGAAGAAGGGGCTTGTGGGGGCTGAGAAGGCCAAGAGCCTGCCCTACAGTGTGGGGTGGACTGAACCTGGTGGAGGAGAGGCTGGGACAAAGCAGGCACGACAGAGGCCTGGCCGAAGGTGCCCGGCCGTTTCTATTCCTGCTGTGACTCCATTGCCTTGGCCTCTGGGCACCTGCCCCGCTCAGCAGGCCCTTTGGGGGTGACCTGCTATGCCTGGGGCCCAACCACCCACCAACATCCAAGACCAGCCTCCCTTAGCTGCCCTGGGTGATCCTGAAGGCTCCATCAGGGGCCCAGGCTAACATGGGCCTGGCGACGTACCTGAATGGCTTGGTCCACCTTCAGGTCCTCCAGAGATGGGTACAGTGTGGACATGGCTGCTCCGTGAAACACCCTGCAGGGCACAGAAAGTGAGGAGGAGCGAGGGGTGAGAGGAGGCACAGATGCCCACCTTTTGTCCACATGAGCCATTTAGCACTCTCAGGATGAAAACGATACCAGGAAGGCACAATTACCCCCCATTTTGGAAATGGGGGAGCTGGGGTTTGTACCCAAATCTGTTTGGTTCCCCAGCTCACGGTCTCCACCCTTGCAGAGTTCCATCCCACCACATTCAATTGGTTCTGGGCTACAGAACCCGGGCTCAGGGAACCACCCAGGACATGCTGGCCGGGAAAAGCAGGACTGGGGGCCACATCCTTCCCTGCCCTGTTTCAAAGATCAGACCTGTTTATGAGACCTACATTCAATCCAGCAGGTGCGTAGCGAGTACCCGCTGCGTACCGGCCTGTTAGGGGTTTGCAAAGCATTGCCCCACCACTACACAGAATCCGGTCCAGTGTCCAGTGGGCGGGGACTTAGTTACAACAGAAAGGCAGCAGGCCCTTCAGAATTCCTTCCCCACCCCCACACCCCTCCCCCCACGCCCCTTTTCACTTCTGGACATTTGACTTCTTACTGTATAACCCATTTCCAGCCTTGATCTTGGCCAGGGTGAAGTGAGACCAATGGAAATTCTTAAAAACAAGCATACAAACTGTAGCAGAATTTTAAAACTCCACAGAGAACAGGAAGGAATGGGGACCTGGGGGAGCACCATGAACATTTACCAAATATCTTCTAAGTGTCCCAGAGGAGAGTCAGTAAGACCTTGGAGCAAGGTATCCAAAGAAATTCAAAGGAATTACAAGTGATGCTTTATTTCCTGCCTAGATGAAATGTGAGGAAGGGGCTGCTTTCAGATTCTTGAATAAATCGAGTTTTTTTTCATGTCTCCAGGCCTTTGCATATGCTAGTCCCTCTCTCTGAATACTCCTCGACCCCTTCCACTTCCTGCCTGGCTAACTGCTCATCGTTTCCAAGCCCCAGATCAGAGCACTCTTCTTTCGGGAAGCCTGCCTTGATTTGTGCTCTCTTCCCCCACCCCCACCCATGTCCTTACTCGTGCTGATTATTCCATTGCCTGTAGTGGCCTCTTAAATGGTCCATCTGCCTTGTTCGACTGGGAGTTCCAAAATGGCAGCACTGGGCCTTCTCACTTGTCACGGGGCCCCTCACCCCTAGCGTGGAGACTAACTCGGTAATACTGCCAGAAGCACTACACTCTGCCTGGCTCTCACTTTCCTCTTTAAAGCTGTGATGTCCTAAGGACAACCGCCTTCCTAAGATGGCAACAAGGCCCAGCGGTCCTACAGTCTTGTTCACCTCTCACAGTCTTAGGCGTCTTTTATTTGAATTAGTGCCAACATTGTAAGATATGGAAACATAAAATTCTTCACTTCTAATTGTATTGAAAACCATAAGAACGTTGGGCAATGCAAGAGCAGGGGTCGTGCATAGCAACACTCAGCCCACCTCCAGAGGAGCTGCTGGTGCTTTCCTATTCCCCCAAATACCCAGCCAGCCCGTTTAGTTCCAGATCCTGCCCTCCCCTGGCCTTCGGGGAAGAAATGATCATCTCATGAGATCAGGGATTTCCCAGGGGGAGAGGGAGACTGACGCTGACCTCCTTTAGACCAGCTGGGGGGCCGTCTGCCTGTGGCCTCCCCGCTGTGCACATACTCTGGGAGGTTTTTATGTTAGGACAGTCCTCGGCAGGTACCATCTGCCCAAAACACCCCGTGCCAGCACAATCTCGCACAAACAGCGGTGAGAGGCTACCCCTGCCCTGTTTTTTCCCAACTATGAAGCAACAGGGAGGTTGTATTTTTAGCAGCTGCCCTCTGGGAGAGGAGAATCAGAGAGCCACTTCCTGGAAATCGCTCCCAGGCCAGGACCACACAGCCTTTCTCCGTTCCAGTGGCCCTTCCACCACTGTCACCGGCGTGGTGGTCCCAGCTCAGTCTGGGGCGCTGGGGCATCAAGAGGCAGGTATTCCCCTGCCCTGTCGCAGTTTGAGCAGTTCGCGGTAGAGTGGGGAATGCTCCCTGCCAGCAAGCATGGCTGCGTCTCATTCACAGAATGTGAGCGTCTACCGCATGCGGGGGCCCTGGCCCTCTTTCAGTCATGCTGGCCCCTCTGCTTGGCCCACCACCTTCTCTGCCTGGCGCCCTTTCAAGGCTCAGCTCAAAAGCTACTTCTCTGTTTTTGAGGTCACGGGACCCTCTGCTAGTCGGCTGGGCCTTCTTTTGCTCCTAACCTGAGTTGTACTGCCTCTATTACCAAGCTGTTTAGCATACTTCTTTTAATATATTTTATTTTTTTACAGAGAGGAAGGGAGAGGGATAGTTAGAAACATCGATGAGAGAGAAACATCGATCAGCTGCCTTCTGCACACCCCCTACTGGGGATGTGCCCGCAACCAAGATACATGCCCTTGACCAGAATGGAACCTGGGACCCTTCAGTCTGCAGGCCGACGCTCTATCCACTAAGTCAAACCGGTTAGGGCCTGTTTAGCATATTATACGATTACTATCTGGGCATTTTCTCACACTGGACCCAACCTCAGAAGGGCAGGGGCCTCGCTCCCGCCCACCCACCCCATTCACCACTCCATGCCTCCCCACCAAACGTGCCCAGCACACGAAGGCTGGCAAAACTTATTTGACTGAATAAATCAGTGTTTTCCCAAAGCCCAGAGTGGAATTTTGTGTGGGCATTTTGAGGGGACACTATTAGCCTTCAGGAAGCAGGGATCTGGACCTCCTCATACACGGAATAATTCACCACAGTAAATGTCCTTTGTCCTGCAAACCTTCAGGGAGGCAAAACACCTGCTTATGACCTGTTTTACATACAAATACAAAACATACAAAATTCCCGCCGGCTTTCACATACAATAGGTTATCCAGAAGTGCATGTACCAGGTCAATCGAGGGAAGTTACACTTTGTTTTGTTCACCATTTTGGAACATCACTGTCGATCCTTCTCACCACACGTCAGTCACCAGCACACACCCATGCGTGTCTGCATTTGTAGCTGCCACAGCGATTCCACGCCTGTATGCAAATACATTAGCCTGCGACTTAAGATGTCAACTATAGCCCTGGCCGGTTTGGCTCAGTGGATAGAGCATGGGCCTGAGGACTGAGGGGTCCCGGGTTCGATTCCGGTTAAGGGCACGTACCTTGGTTGCGGACACATCCCTAGTGGATGGTGTGCAGGAGGCATCTGATTGATGTTTCTAACTCTCTATCCCTCTCCTTTCCTCTCTGTAAAAAATCAATAAAATGTATTTTTTAAAAATGTCAACTATAAACTGTTGGCAAAATTCAGTTGAATGTTGTGTTTTAATAATCCAAACTTAATCACTTTGTCAGGGACGAGCATGATCGGTGTAGCCCAATAGTGAAGTGCGTCATCTTTTATCATAAATTACTCCGCCCTCCCTTCTCCTTGTACTAAGGCAGGGAGGGCATCCTATCAATTTCGTACCGAGGAAATGGCCGCTGTGGACAAACCCGCCCCCTCCCTCAGCCGCAATTCCCGCTGTCAAATGGGAGCCGCCAAGCACACACTCCATGCCCGGGGCCCAGAGAGCGCCCCGGGGTCCCTGGGGTTCGTGCTTCACCCCAGGCCAGCTTCCCAGTTGGTCAGGCCGCCTGCTCATCGATCTCCAGACGCTCGGACTCCAATCCCCCTGCAGTTCGATTCCCGCCGGAAGCGACCGCTCCCGGTTGCTAGGAGCTACGGCGACTGCGCAGAGGCCCCGCCAGGCCGCTAGGGTCCGCGGTGGCGTCTAAGGCGCATGCGTCTGGCCCACCCGGCCAGCGCGGGCTGCGGGCGACTCCCCAAATCAGTGGTTCTCAACCTTGGCTGCACATTGGAATCACCTGGGAATCTTTTTAAAATCCTGATTTCTGGGCCTCATCCTCCGGAAATTCTGTTTCTTTATGGGGCGGAGCCACAACATTAGTAACAAAGAAACAGAATTTCCGGAGGATGAGGCCCAGAAATCAGGATTTTAAAAAAGATTCCCAGGTGATTCCAATGTGCAGCCAAGGTTGAGAGCCACTGCCCAAAATGCTTTCCGGTTGCGGGGTTGGAAATGCCTGCTTCCCCGCCGAGTGGGTGGTTGGCGTGGTTGGTTACTAGAATCCACTCGGCTTCCTTCTTTTTTTTTTAATATATTTTTGTGGATTTCAGAGAGAAAGGGGGGAGAGAGAAACAGCAATGATGAGAATCACTGGCCAGCTGCCTCCTGCACGCCCAGCCCTGGGGATGGAGCCCGCAACCCGGGCAAGTGCCCCAACCCAACCATGACCTCCTGGTTCATAGGTCCTTGCCCCACCAGAGCCATGCTGTCAGGGTGGGCAAGGCGCCCGGAGCTGGCGCTGGCATCCACAAAAAGATCGGGTAAAGCAGCAGATTAAGAGGCAGGAAGAAGGCTTGGCCAGGTCCCGCGGTTCTCTCTTTACCGGCTGGAGGCTACGGGTCAAATCGAGCTTTAAAGGGGCTTATGCCCCGTGGCCACGGACCCCTGAGGGCCATTTATTGCCTCCGAAGCAATCGGTGCAGTTGAGCTGCTCGCCGCTGACAAGGCTCTGTACCAAGGCGGCTGTGGGAGCGGAGGCGAACAGTCAACACTCCTGCGTTTCCCGCTGCCTGTTGCTCAAACTGAAAAGGAATCTGAACCTACACACACCCTGGCTCCTTAGGACTCGGAAGCGTCTTTGACCGACTAGTTCCTACCCTTTGTGACGTCACCGTCCCGCCCACTCTCTCACCAGTTTCTTGGGGGCGGGGGGGGGGTTGTGCACCTACCTGCCTGGCCCTGAGCCGCAAGTGCCTCGGCCCACTCCACACTGATTCACCCAGTGTTCCCAGACGTGTGACTGAGGGATCTGAGCCCCTGCTGCCCAGGTTAGGGGACTTGTGCTTGGCCGAGCAGATCACTTCCTACAGCAAAATTGGACCCACTGCATTTTACACGGGGTTCAGGCGGGTGGGTTTATGGAGTGCAGGACAAAGGGCGAGGGCAACGAGGCAGGCCACTTGGAGGAAGGAAGGAGACCCTGAGAAGACCGAAGTATGGAGGGTTCAGGAGGGTGGAAGTGGGGGGTGCTATTCCAGGGACAGGGAGGCCCAGGCCAGGAGTCCAGCCGCCTTCCACATCTTTACTACCGCCTGAACCCGTTTTCCCCAGCTTTGCCGCCCCTCCTCGGCCGCCCCACCAAATCCAACCCAAGGTCCAAGCCAGAAGCCTGGGAGTTATCCTCAGCACCTGCTCGTGAAGTCATCCAGGCCAGCTCTTTTCCTTATGATAAATCTCAAACTTCAACTTCGTATTCAAATTCCCATGACCTGACTCCTGGTACAGCTCCAGTCTCACCCTCTTCTACACTCACCTTGCATTTCATTCATTCCAGACAGCTGATCCTAAAACTCAGCCTGCTTGTTCATGACTGTGCCCTTTGACTTCAATGCCAGTCACGCCTTCTCTCTTCCCCCTTATTCATCTGGTGGACTCCAATTCTAAATTTTCCCCAAAATGTCCACACCCACAGCCTCCCTTTTCTAGACCACAGGATTTATGTTCACCTATTCAACATTTACTCCACTAATGTTGATTAATCACCTGCTGTGATAAAGGCCTTTGGCATTTCTGGGTGGGATTTCCACTGTTTTGTATTTGTTTGCCTGTCTTCCCTCTCTGGTCAAGAATGTTGCTCATTTCTGAATCCCCAGTACTGAGCCCAGGGCCTGGCACCCAGCAGGTGTCCTGTTACCATTTCTTAAAGAAATGGAAAAGCAGACACAAAGGGAAGAGAAAGCCCAAGAAGTCCTTTGAACAAATGCCCTGGGCCTAGAAAGAGAGATAAGTCTGCCTAATGAGGCAGATTGAACGTCTGGCTCCCACATGCTGGCAAGGGACGAATTTGCTCAGTTCAGTGCTGATGGATTCCCACAGTTAGCCCCTCTGGAAGGAATTTTCTTCACCCGCTGCACTTTGCAGAATGTCCATCCCTGAGCCTCACTGTTTTTTATATCAGCAATAACAACACCCACAACACATCGGCAGTCAGGTCCTCAGAGCTCAGCCGCATCTTTGGACTCGGGGTGAGAACACTCCTCTGGAACACTGTGTTCCCAAGAGCTGAGGCGAGGGACTCCCACTTGTTCTGTGGACAACTCATCCATCTCAGAAGACAGTGTGCAGGAGGGAAGCGTGGGCTAGAGCATCAGAAGGAATAGCTCCTGGAAGGCCAAATTAGCCCAGGATTACGGTGAGTCGGAAAGAGGCTGTTGCTAGGCCACCGGCACAGACCCCCTCCTCCTCTCAGGGTGTCCTGCCTGCTAGAGAAAAGCTGGGGACTTCTTCAGAGAACGCAGATGCTCCCGAGCCAGCCCAGGAAAGGCAGGGCAGGGCAGGAGCCAGGACCTTGTGAGAACAAGCATGGACAAGTCCCTTTTGAATGTCATTTCTGTTGTAATGCAGGGAACAATGCATGCATCACAGAGTTATCGTGGAGATTAAAAGATTCTTAAATAGAGATAAGCTTTGTATGCAAAGCACTTACCACAGTGCCTGGCACCTGAAGGGCACACAGCAATCATTAGCTATTGTTCATTCAGTGTGTTTACTGAGCACCTCCATCCCAGCACTGTTCTAGGGGCCAGTAGGAAGGCATTGAACAAAAGCGAAATCTGCCCGGAGGAGTGCTAACCTCCTAGCTGAGGATAAGTAAGTGCTTCTGTGTGAGGTGGTGGGAAGCGATGGGGAGAGGGTGGAGGGCAGAGTGTCAGGAGGTCTGGAAGAGCCTCACTACTTGGGGAGGGGGTGGTGGGTAACGAGTAAAAGCCTGAAGGGTGGGGAAGAGCATTCCGGCCAAGGACAGAGAGCTGCCACCTGAGGTAGGGCTGCCTGTTGTGTCTAGGGAACATCTGACCAGTAAGGCAGTCAGTGGTTCGGAGGAGGAGTCGCAGTGCCTGGGAGGCTGGTGGGTCCTGGCCAGGACGTGGCCTTTACCCTGGGGCCTCTGGAGAATTTTGAGCAACAGAGTGGCATGGTCCAAGTTTCATTTTAATGGGCCCCCTCTGGCTGATGTTTAGAAAATCAACTGGAGGGGCCACAGTGGACACGGGGGCCCAGGTAAGGAGTGGTGGTGGCATAAGACTTACTAGTTTGGGCAAAGCAGTCACGGCAGTGCGTGCCCGGCACATCGGCCGCATGTTAAGCACCCTTTCCATTGCTGGGGCTCTGCTGTGTGGAGGGCACGTCCTGGCCCCTCATGTCCATTACCTCATTCAGTTCTCCTGATTTTAGGGGTATTTTCAGTCTCCAAATGAGGAAACCAAGTTTTAGAGGGGTCAAGCCACTGGCCCAAGATGTTCCTGGCTATGGTAGGGAGGCTGTGGATAGAAACAGCCTCAGGCAGTAACAGAAACTGAGGCCTGCACTCCGTTCTTGTGGAAATCGGCTTCTTTTTGCCTGGCCTTTAAGGCCCACTTCCAGGAGTAAAGTATGGGTCCCGTCTCCCTGAGCACCCTCACAGGCAGGCAGAAGGAGGCTGGGGCCCTGGCCTGGATAAAGATCTCTCAGCCCTCAAACCTGGCCCAGGGCTGGGATCAGAGGAGGAAACCCCAGTTCACATTTCGCTCCCAGAGTGAAGCACCTGGAAAGGAAACTGCCTGGGAAATCCCAAAAAGCTCAGGACAGGGTGAGAACAAACCTCGCTTACCTGGGCCCCAGTCTATAGGGGAGCTGGGGTGAAGGGGGAGGCAGATCTTACCTGCAGACCTGGAGCTGCTGCACGTCCTTCTCCAGTCACTGCCCAGAGAATCTGTTTCCCTACCTGGAAGGTGATGGCCCTTGTCGCAGCTGCATTCCTGCTCCTGGAGGGTGGTGCCCGCTCCTGGTCAGCTGACTCACCAGGCCTGGGACTGGGGCAGGCCCAGGTAATGCTCTGGGGCAGGGCAAACAGAGGTCACCAGGCCCAGGGGAGGGCTCTGGCCTTTGTCTAGATGTGGAGGTGGGTTTGGAGCACACACAGCTGTTACTATTAAGAGAGATTTGAACCAAAACTTCTTGGCCTTCAGATTTTCATTGGACACCAGTCCTGCTGAACATGAAGGCAGTTTGAGGGGTATCCAGGGTCTTAAAAAATCGTAATCCAGCATTTCCTCTTCTAGGAATTTGTTATAAAAAATAGCCCTAGCTGATTTGGCTCAGTGGATAGAGCGCTGGCCTGCGGACTGGGGTGGTCCTGACTGGGTTCGATTCCAGTCAGGGGCACATGCCCCGGCTATGGGCTCAACCCCCACTGGGGGGCGTGCAGGAGGCAGCTGATCTGTGATTCTCTCTCATCATTGATATCTCTATCTCTCCCTCTCCCTTCCTCTCTGAAATCAATAAAAATATATTATAAATAAATAAACAAACAAACAAGTAGGCAGTGAGGTCTCAGGGCCCATCACCATGTTGCTTATAACAGGCAAATCTAAAAATCCCAAATGCCGATCATGAGGTCTGATTATAAGTCAGTACCTATGGACGATCACACAGCTATCAACGTTGTTTAAGGAAGAAGCCGTGAGGAATGTCCCTGAGATACTGGCATAATCAGGACTGTGATACTCTTCTTGTGATTTGCTTTTATTGTTTTGAAAAGTGGATCTGCATTGACAACGGTCTGGGAGGGCCTATGCTAAATGCTGAAAATCTGGATGGTGGTGGGGTTTTGGGTTTGTACTTTTGTGTATATTCTAAGGTGGTGGAGTTTTGTTTCGAAGTTAGTTTTTGCTCTGAGCGCTTATGATTTTTCAAAGAGGAAGCAAATTAAATTTGTTTGAGAAAGGAATTTAGATTGGCTGTGTGCTGGGGTAGGAGGGGATCTTTCCTATAGCACATTTTTGGTGCCTTTTAAATTTTGAAACATTTGAATGTATTACGTATCCCCCCAAAATAATCACATACAATTAAACAGAAAGGAGGACAAATGTTGTTTAGTTCCTGGTGTTTAGTTGTACCGAGGTGCCTGTCACACTTGGTGCCCTGTGTGCGGGGCAGTCCCATGTGATGACGCAGGGCACCCACACAGGGCGGGGTGAGTATCAGGGCTGCTCACCAAGCCAGGCAGGTCCGGGTCAGTCCCCATGACAAGCCTGGGTGGAGCTGCACTAGCCTCGGTGTCAGACCCTGGCCAGGGGCCCGGCTGGTGTTCGGCCCCAGGAGGAGAGAACTGCTCCCCTCTGAGGAGCTTACAGCCAGGAGTCCCATAGGAAACATAAGAGACAATAGCAAGAAAAGCAGCTGTTATTCATTGAGCACAGTGGACGAAAAAGGGGCCACATACTAACCCTGACAAGCTCAGGGAGGCCTGCATGGTGGCTTTACAAACTCAGAGGCCGAAAGTAACCACAGAGGAGGATCTGAACGCTGAAATTCCTAACTGAAAGCGGGTCACGGGCGGGAGGGGGGTGGGGACGGGAGTCACATCCTAGGCCTGTAGCTTCCCAGGCAAAGGTGGATCTTTACCTTAGGTGAACCCCTCTATTGTCTTTTCACACTAAGAGAGCACACCTTTGAAATGGCAGAGTAACCTTTTCCAGGCCCAGCAAGGCCCAGCTGCCTGCACCGGAGCAGGAGGTCCTGGAACGGTTCCTTGTTACCTTGCTCCCAGCGTACCCCCTCGATGTGCTGTAAATGTCCATTAACTATCCTGTACCCACCAATGTGAAAGATTTCTCTGTTTTGCCTTTTTACCCAGTGCCAGAGATTTCCCCACTTTGCTTTCTCCCGCCTCCTTAATCTACACTAATGGATTTCATGTAACCCTCCTTCCGTCTTCTCCCTTTATCCCAGTGTATAAAATAAGCTGCCATTCTCCAGAGCATTTTCTCAATCCATTGAGATTTTGCCTCCCAGCAGTTGTCATCAGTTTGGCTCAAAAAACTCAAAAAGATTCTCTACATCAGCGGTTCTTAACCTGTGGGTTGCGACCCCTTTGGGGGTCAAAGGACCCTTTCACAGGGCCGCCTAAGACCATCGGAAAACACATATAATTATTGTTTTGTGATTAATCACTATGCTTTAATTATGTTCAATTTGTAACAATGAAACTGGGGGTCACCACAACATGAGGAACTGTAATAAAGGGTCGCGGCATTAGGAAGGTTGAGAACCACTGCTCTACATACAGGCTTGGAAGTCCCTTCCAGTCCTGCCTGTGGAACTAAAGATCCTGCCCCAGGTGCTTGAAAGGTCTCTCTCCGTGGCTCCTTTCATCCCTGTGAGCAGGTGTGAGAGGGAAGCCCCTTTCCTAATTACACGCTGGAAGGCGGCTCCAAGTCATGTTTTCTCTTCTGTGAGACAAATGCAGCTTGAAGCTGAAGTGTGGACACACCCAGGGCTGTGCCACGTGGTCCTGAAGGATGAAGTAAACCGTGGGTGATGGGCCCCCTTAGGCCAGGTCTTCAAGGCCAAAGAAAAGTAGGAAATAGAGATCCTGACTAAACCAAATGACACCCCTCCTCCCCCGCCACGCACACACACTCACACCTCAATTCATTTAGTCGTGGTCTGAAAGGGCCTTTAAGAGAAGATGGAGGAAAACCAGCCCAGAAGGGTAAAGGGCTTGCCTGTGGTCACACAGCACCTCGGTATAGATCTAGGACTAGGACCCAGGTCCCCGAACCCCCACTTACATGTTCCACAGCATGCTAGCCACCTCCCATCTCTAACATCCCTGTTTCAGCCAACAGTTTCCCTTAGTTTCCTCTATTGTTCACAGAGAGTGAAGCACCTTGTCCAATCTTTCATTGGGCATGACCTTGCTCAAAGTCTTTAGTGGTCCACTACTGAAGGGTCAAATGAGGGTGGGTTAGGGTAAGACAAACTCCCAGACCTCACATTGAAGCCACATGGTCTATAACCCACACTCATTTATTACCTTTTCAATCTTGTCTCCCAGCACCTCTTCCTAGCCAGGTGGGAATCCTCTCCAGTCCAATTCCCACCTCATACCTCAAGCCTGTGCTGCTGCTTCTGGAACGCCTTCCCCCTCCCCCCACTCCACCCAGCCAGATCCACTGAGCACCTCTTCCAGGAAGCTTCCCCGGTCACCCCCATCATGTGGCCTGTCCCACCTCTGAGGGCTGGATCAGACCTTCCAGTTTGTTCTTTGATAGTAATCACCTCTTATTGTTCATGTGTACTGTAGGCTACCAACTAGACTCTAAGTTCCTTGAAGACAGAGCCTAGTAATTAGGTTTACAGTAGCTATATTCAAAATAAAATTGGAAACTGTGCTCTGGCCAGGAGATATTTCTGGTTTCTTACACGTTGGTATGAACAATCTTCAAAAGTCTAAAACGGGTATCTAATATCCAGCATACAATCAGAAACTCCCTAACAGCACCCTTGTCAGACCTAAGTAACTAGCCATTGATTGTCCTCCCTGCTGAGCCCAGGGGTGGCTCAGAATCCTCTCACAACAAAGTCAAAGAAGGCTGCCTCCACCTGGATTCTGCCCCTGAGGTGAAACCTCTGTGCCACCCGGTCCCAGTGGGTGCTCCTTGAGGGCAGGGGCTTGTCCGTGAGGGAGGTTCTTAGTCCTAAGGTGGGGGGGGGGGGGAGGGAGGAGGGGGGGCAGAGCCATTTGTATATTTATAACATCATTCCCAGGCCACACAAAATTATCAACTTAAAAATTAGCCTGCTATATTTGGTCAAACATTTAATTAACTCACCCCTTATGCCATGGCAGGGCCAGAACAAATTATTTCCTCGGCCTTATTCGGCCCGAGGGCCAGATGTCCCCACCCCTGCCCGAGGGCCCTGCCCGGCACACAGTGGGCTCTCAGTAAGTACTTACTGAGTGAATAAATACCCCTCCTAGGAAAGTCAATCACCGTAATAAACTTAATGGCTCACTTATTTAAAAGATGGGCTGGGCCCTAGCAGGTTTGGCTCAGTGGATAGAGTGTTGGCCTACAGACTGAAGGGTCCCAGGTTAAATTCTGGTCAAGGGCACATGCCTGGGTTGCGGATTCGACCCCCTGTGTGGGGCCTGCAGGAGGCAGGCAATCAATGATTCTCTCTCATCATTGGTATTTCTATCTCTCTCTCCCCCTCTCCCTTCCTCTCTGAAATCAATAAAAATACATTTTAAATAAATAAATAAAAGATGGGCTGGGCAGGGCTGCAGCATCGAATCTGAGGCCCAGATCTATGACGTTGCCCATTACCAAACCTCTCTGAGCTACCGTTTCCACATCTACAAATGGGGATCTTGGGACCTGCTTTACAGGCTTATCTTGAGGATTAAATGAATTAGTCATACACCGTACCTAGGGCACAGCTGGCTCTCAGTAAATGTTAGTTTCCGACTTCCTCATGGACTCAGTCCAGCTGTAAGCTACAGAAATGCAAGTTACCTGGTTCAAGTGAAAATGGCCTTACCTGCAGCAGGGCTCTGGGCAGAGAAGTGCCCGCTGTGCACTCCTGCCTCTGCAGGGAATCTTGATGGCATGTCACCGTGGCTGGCTCCTCACAGTGGGATGATGATAACAGGAAGAGGCCGTTGGTTGGCCCCTTCTCCATGCTGGGTGCTCTGCTGGGCCTGGGGTATTACCCGGTTTCCTCTATTGTTCACAGCAGCCCCAGCTTCAGAGAGTGAAGCACCTTGTCCAAGACCACGCAGCCCGAGGGGGAAGGCCAGGCTTTGACTGTAAACCGCATGGAGCTGCCTGGGCTCCAGGAGTCTCCCATCCCTCACAGCTGAGTCACAGATGTCCCAGGTGGTAGCCGAGTCAGACGCCCAGGGGGCTAATGTCCGACAGTTCCTCATACTTGTCCCCCACTTAGCCCCACCCAGCACCTCAGCCCCTTGCTTGGTAGTGCAGGCACTGGCCAGAGACCCTGACCTA